ACTATTATAGCCCATGCCAGGCACAAGTTGTAAAAATTATATACTAAATTTAAAAATCTTGTATATCTCTATTGTAAAGCTAAACCTTATTGTTAAAATTTTTTCTGACTTTACTATCTGGTCTGGGTCAGTTTATTAACCAAAGTGTTGATTAGTTCGTTACATGGTGTAGATTATTATTGCTAAAACAATCTCATGTTTATGTCCTACTTTGTCTATTCAAAAATAGAAGGTATAAACAATACTAATCTTTTAGAGAAAGTAAGCTAGAATGCCTACTTTTTGTCAAAATTTTTTTGAGAGCAGCAAAAAGGTGAAGTAAAAGAGAAAAACTACTTGTATACAAAATAAAAGAGTGTAAGTTTCTTTTACTATAATTAAATAAAACCAACACTGGAGTATACACAATACTAAGTTTTGTTAGTAAGTGATAAACTCTAAGCTTGTTAGCAGATAGTGTATAAGAACTATCTCTAAATGACAAGTACCATATCTGTCATCACAGTAAGTGATAAACTCTGAAAAATTAGCAAATAGTATATGAGAACTATCTCTAAATGATAGTTGCTATTCTAAGGTTCCTTTTCACATATCATATGTCTAATATAGCTATTTGTATTTTTTCATAGTAAAAAGTTTTTTGGAAATTTTTAGTAAAAGCGATTATCAAAAAAAGTTTGAGTAATACATGTTCCTTTTAATTATAATATAAACTAATAATATATAATAATATAATATTTTATAAAATTATTATTATTTAAAATCTTTTTTAATTATGTAAAAAGTTTTCATTAATCACAACTCTTTTCGACAATTATTTGAACTAACCCTTCCAATGAAAAGAAAATAGAAGTTTGCTAGAGTTGAAGCTGAAGTAGACACATATTAACAGTTTTTATAGAGGTTAACCAAGTTGGTCTTCTCTCTGCTTTGGCTTGGGGACTCCTCTATATCTTTATCATGCAAGTTAAAAGTGTTCTTGTACAAGATAACTGGCAGGAGGATGTACCCTTGTACAAAAAATTCTAATGGAAGAAGTCTTTCACTTCTGATAACGAAGTTACATATACATCTGACTTACCTGGAAAACAGCAGACAACTGTTTTAAAGAAGCCTCACACTCTTTTATTGGCTAAGTGGTTCCTTCCCTCCTTTCTCGCTTCCTTGTCAGTCTTCCAAATTTTTTTTCATAAAAAGTAGGAATTTGGCTTACCCCTACAAAAGATTAGCATTGTTTACTTTTCAAATTTGGTTAAACCAGTAGATGGCAACACGTATACAGAAATGGATATGACATTCAAGTACTGGAACAGGTCTCAGTTAAAAGAAATTCCTAAGCCTGGGCTGAAGACGTTGATAGCACATATCTAATGTGAGATGCGGTTTAGGTTTACAGCCATAGCCGAATGATGGACCAGAGAGAAATTATATATTAAGGCTTAGTCTTACAATTGAGATATACAGATATTGTATCTAATATATAATTTTTATTTTTATCTAGCATGGGTTATAATAGTGTGTGTTAGGATTTTTTTTCTTTTTTGTTGCTTTTTCCATCTTCTTTCTTTTATAATTGAATAGCATTTAGAGTTTTTCTTTTTTTCTTTCTTTTTGTTTTTGTTTTTTCTTCTTTTTTGTTTTCTTTTTTTGAATTTGTTTTATTCTTTTGTAAATACGGTTTTTGGTTTTTTATCTTGTACAGAAATAAGAGTCAAACTTTTTGTTGAATCTAGGTGGGAAAAGTTTATAAAAGAAGAAAAGATTCTGACACAGTATACAACAACCTGTCCGTGATCTTGAGGTATCTCATCATACCGAAATTTTGAGGAAGTTCAGAATCCCTAAATAAACTAATAGTTGTTATAGCAAGTCACATTGGGCAGTTCTTGCTTAATGAATTTTTATTAGACTAGAGCAAAATGCATTAAAGAATATGTACTTGAGAGTATTAAATTCACATCATAGCTTATAATAAATAAAGACAGGATTGCTTAAAAAAAAAAAAAAAGTTTTCATTAAGTTTAATAAAGATAAGAGCAAGGTTTTATCTTAATATTAAAAAAAATAAAATAAAAAATCAAATTATTATTATAAAATAATAATATCTTTAGTAGTAGAAAAATAGGCTTTTTGGCACAAAAAGCTCTTGACCTCCAAATGAACCTAGAAGGTTGCCCTAGATATCAAAAAATCGCCTCTCAATAGCATACCATATAGGTAGCTAAAGAAGAGACAGGAGTATAAACCCTTTAGGGCAATGCGGATGCCCTTGGGAGAAAAAATATAGCAGGAACATGAGCAAGCCTTTTAGGGTGAAGCGAATGTGAATGCTATATTTTTTTAACCTATATACTACTATTCTAGTATATGCTAATAAATGAGGCATATTTGAAAGCAATCATGAATACAAGACAAGGTTTACTATAGGCAGAGCAAAGCGAAGCCTTTGTGTGAAGCAAAGCAAAGCACATGTAAACAAACCATAAAGTATATAATGAATGCAATACATAGTTTACTATAGGCGGAGCGAAGTGAAGCCTTTGTATGAAGCGAAGCAAAGCACATGTAAACAAACTAAAAAGCATATAATGAATGCTAATATTATAAGCAAATAGGATCATAATTTTCACCTCAAGGTAAAAAATAATGTGATATAAATGTATACATTTTGGGTTCTGGAAACATCTCTGGCACTAGCCCATCACTAGACCATCATTTGCCTGAATTTTTGCAAGCTTTTGACGCTGATAAAAATCTTAAATGCGATATTTACCTGCATGTTTTTTACAAGCACTATAAATAGAGGAAGTTAATTTTCTGCATTCTATACAGGGAACTCGATTAGGAGATTTCCAATGAACTTTACACCCTTCTTCTCGATAGCACCCCTCATTGCATACTTCTCCGGACCTAAGAATATATGGACATTTATAAAATCCCATATTAGTTTGTTTTTTGAATAAATATGTAACTATAATTATCCGAATAAATTAATTTTTATTTTAAACTTTTTTGTAACCATATATAATCTTTAGGAAAACATGAGTGGAATACTTAGTACTATCACCGGTGTATTAGAACGATTGTTCGGAAATCTCTTACCAAGCTGGGGAGACCCAATGCCACCTGAGTTACCCGAACCCTCCGAGCTACCAGAACCAGAAGAAGGGTCGGAGGAGGGAGAAAGTGACTATGAGACCGCTTTAGCTTACCAAAATACTGATACAAGATGGTATTCAGCTATCCGAAGATTTCTATTCTGGAAAAAGCAGGATTTGTATATTAAGTTCTATGATAGGTTTACACAATGGATTGGTTCCGAAAATGACTTCTGTGATTTATCACGAGACTGGTTCATAATCAAAGCTAATCTGAATGAAACACTTCAAGAGGCTCATATTTGTTATAATGATGAAGCCAATGCAATCTTTTGGCGAAGTGATGGGCAGATAGACTTAAGAAAAACTGGTACGTATACAATGGCAAGTTTGCGCTTCTTTCAAGATGTAGCTAGATATCCTAGAAAAGCTGAAGACTTATCACCAGAGGAAGACCAGTGGATAAGATCAGCATATATAGGAGATTTAACGTGGACCGAGCCATATGAAGGAATTGCAACTGAGTTAGATTTCAATGAATATTACCCGCACATCTTAGCTTATGGGAGTACATGCTGGCCAATAGGTCCAGGAGAATTTAAAACATTTACACACATTAGCGTTAATCCTATCAGCTTTAATCTAAAATACGAAATTTATCATGTTTTTATAGGAGGTCAGCCAGCAGGTCAAAAATGTACAAGAACTTTTCGTTATAATCCTGCGGGATATTACACTCACCATAACATACAAATGGCAATAGATCTAGGTCTTCACATAGAATTATCCTCTGAAAGTCCTAATGCTTTAATATTTGGGCCAAATCAGCTTATGCGCGGAGATGAAATTTTCTATCAATGGGCAAGTTATCTTACAGAAATCAAGCATGAAGG